TAGTTTGTTGACTCACGAAGTCGTAATGACACGATTGCAAACAAACCATACCCCGGCCGGGATTGAACCCGCGGTCAGAGAGTCTCAAAACTCCAGCCCGGGCTGGAGTTTTGAGACTCTCTGACAGCGGGTTCAATCCCAGCCGGAGTATGCTTAGTAGTTTGTTGGATTATGTATTGGTAGATAAAAGACAGTTGAGTAGACTTCAGGATGTACATGTTTACAGAGGGGCCACAGATATAACAGATCACTTTCTAGTTGTAGCTATACTGAGAGTAAAAGGTAGATGGGATACAAGGAGAATAGAAGCATCAGGGAAGAGAGAGGTGAAGGTTTATAAACTAAAAGAGGAGGCAGTTAGGGTAAGATATAAACAGCTATTGGAGGATAGATGGGCTAATGAGAGCATAGGCAATGGGGTCGAAGAGGTATAGGGTAGGTTTAAAAATGTAGTGTTGGAGTGTTCAGCAGAAGTTTGTGGTTACAGGAAGGTGGGTGCGGGAGGGAAGAGGAGCGATTGGTGGAATGATGATGTAAAGAGAGTAGTAAGGGAGAAAAAGTTAGCATATGAGAAGTTTTTACAAAGTTGAAGTGATGCAAGGAGGGAAGAGTATATGGAGAAAAAGAGAGAGGTTAAGAGAGAGGTGAAGCAATGTAAAAAGAGAGCAAATGAGAGAGTGGGTGAGATGTTATCAACAAATTTTGTTGAAAATAAGAAAAAGTTTTGGAGTGAGATTAACAAGTTAAGAAAGCCTAGAGAACAAATGGATTTGTCAGTTAAAAATAGGAGAGGAGAGTTATTAAATGGAGAGTTAGAGGTATTGGGAAGATGGAGGGAATATTTTGAGGAATTGTTAAATGTTGATGAAGATAGGGAAGCTGTGATTTCATGTATAGGGCAAGGAGGAATAACATCTTGTAGGAGTGAGGAAGAGCCAGTTGTGAGTGTGGGGGAAGTTCGTGAGGCAGTAGGTAAAATGAAACGGGGTAAGGCAGCTGGGATTGATGGGATGTTAAAAGCAGGTGGGGATATAGTTTTGGAGTGGTTGGTGCAATTATTTAATAAATGCATGGAAGAGGGTAAGGTACCTAGGGATTGGCAGAGAGCATGCATAGTTCCTTTGTATAAAGGCAAAGGGGACAAAAGAGAGTGCAAAAATTATAGGGGGATAAGTCTGTTGAGTATAACTGGTAAAGTGTATGGTAGAGTTATTATTGAAAGAATTAAGAGTAAGATGGAGAATAGGATAACAGATGAACAAGGAGGCTTTAGGAAAGGTAGGGGGTGTGTGGACCAGGTGTTTACAGTGAAACATATAAGTGAACAGTATTTAGATAAGGCTAAAGAGGTCTTTGTGGCATTTATGGATTTGGAAAAGGCGTATGACACGGTGGATAGGGGGGCAATGTGGCAGATGTTGCAGGTGTATGGTGTAGGAGGTAGGTTACTGAAAGCAGTGAAGAGTTTTTACGAGGATAGTGAGGCCCAAGTTAGAGTATGTAGGAAAGAGGGAAATTATTTCCCAGTAAAAGTAGGCCTTAGACAAGGATGTGTGATGTCACCGTGGTTGTTTAATATATTTATAGATGGGGTTGTAAGAGAAGTAAATGCGAGGGTCTTGGCAAGAGGCATGGAGTTAAAAGATAAAGAATCAAACATAAAGTGGGAGTTGCCACAGTTGCTCTTTGCTGATGACACTATGCTCTTGGGAGATTCTGAAGAGAAGTTGCAGAGATTGGTGGATGAATTTGGTAGGGTGTGCAAAAGAAGAAAATTAAAAGTGAATACAGGAAAGAGTAAGGTTATGAGGATAACAAAAAGATTAGGTGATGAAAGATTGGATATAAGATTGGAGGGAGAGAGTATGGAGGAGGTGAATGTATTCAGATATTTAGGAGTTGACGTGTCAGCGGATGGGTCTATGAAAGATGAGGTGAATCATAGAATTGATGAGGGGAAAAGGGTGAGTGGTGCACTTAGGAGTCTGTGGAGACAAAGAACTTTGTCCTTGGAGGCAAAGAGGGGAATGTATGAGAGTATAGTTTTACCAATGCTCTTATATGGGTGTGAAGCATGGATGATGAATGTTGCAGCGAGGAGAAGGCTGAAGGCAGTGGAGATGTCATGTCTGAGGGCAATGTGTGGTGTGAATATAATGCAGAGAATTCGTAGTTTGGAAGTTAGGAGGAGGTGCGGGATTACCAAAACTGTTGTCCAGAGGGCTGAGTAAGGGTTGTTGAGGTGGTTCGGACATGTAGAGAGAATGGAGCGAAACAGAGTGACTTCAAGAGTGTATCAGTCTGTAGTGGAAGGAAGGCGGGGTAGGGGTCGGCCTAGGAAAGGTTGGAGGGAGGGAGTACAGGAGGTTTTGTGTGCGAGGGGCTTGGACTTCCAGCAGACATGCGTGAGCGTGTTTGATAGGAGTGAATGGAGACAAATGGTTTTCAATACTTGACGTGCTGTTGGAGTGTGAGCAAAGTAACATTTATGAAGGGGTTCAGGGAAACCGGCAGGCCGGACTTGAGTCCTGGAGATGGGAAGTACAGTGCCTGCACTCTGAAGGAGGGGTGTTAATGTTGCAGTTTAAAAACTGTAGTGTAAAGCACCCTTCTGGCAAGACAGTGATGGAGTGAATGATGGTGAAAGTTTTTCTTTTTCGGGCCACCCTTCCTTGGTGGGAATCGGCCAGTGTGATAATAAAAAAAAGTTTGTTGAATATACCTGGTAAAGTGTATGGTAGAGTTATTATTGAAAGAATTAAGAGTAAGATGGAGAATAGGATAGCAGATGAACAAGGAGGGTTTAGGAAAGGTAGGGGGTGTGTGGACCAGGTGTTTACAGTGAAACACATAAGTGAACGGTATTTAGATAAGGCTAAAGAGGTCTTTGTGGCATTTATGGATTTGGAAAAGGCGTATGACACGGTGGATAGGGGGGCAATGTGGCAGATGTTGCAGGTGTATGGTGTAGGAGGTAGGTTACTGAAAGCAGTGAAGAGTTTTTACGAGGATAGTGAGGCTCAAGTTAGAGTATGTAGGAAAGAGGGAAATTATTTCCCAGTAAAAGTAGGCCTTAGACAAGGATGTGTGATGTCACCGTGGTTGTTTAATATATTTATAGATGGGGTTGTAAGAGAAGTAAATGGGAGGGTCTTGGCAAGAGGCGTGGAGTTAAAAGATAAAGAATCACACAAAGTGGGAGTTGTCACAGTTGTTCATTGCTGATGACACTCTGCTCTTGGGAGATTCTGAAGAGAAGTTGCAGAGATTGGTGGATGAATTTGGTAGGGTGTGCAAAAGAAGAAAATTAAAAGTGAATACAGGAAAGAGTAAGGTTATGAGGATAACAAAAAGATTAGGTGATGAAAGATTGGATATCAGATTGGAGGAAGAGAGTATGGAGGAGGTGAATGCATTCAGATATTTGGGAGTTGACGTGTCAGCGGATGGGTCTATGAAAGATGAGGTGAATCATAGAATTGATGAGGGGAAAAGGGTGAGTGGTGCACTTAGGAGTCTCTGGAGACAAAGAACTTTGTCCTTGGAGGCAAAGAGGGGAATGTATGAGAGTATAGTTTTACCAACGCTCTTATGTGGGTGTGAAGCATGGGTGATGAACGTTGCAGTGAGGAGAAGGCTGGAGGCAGTGGAGATGTCATGTCTGAGGGCAATGTGTGGTGTGAATATAATGCAGAGAATTCGTAGTTTGGAAGTTAGGAGGAGGTGCGGGATTACCAAAACTGTTGTCCAGAGGGCTCATGAAGGATTGTTGAGGTGGTTCGGACATGTAGAGAGAATGGAGCGAAACAGAATGACTTCAAGAGTGTATCAGTCTGTAGTGGAAGGAAGGCGGGGTAGGGGTCAGCCTAGGAAAGGTTGGAGGGAGGGGGTAAAGGAGGTTTTGTGTGCGAGGGGCTTGGACTTCCAGCAGGCATGAGTGAGCATGTTTGATAGGAGTGAATGGAGACAAATGGTTTTTAATACTTGACATGCTGTTGGAGTGTGAGCAAAGTAACATTTATGAAGGGGTTCAGGGAAACCGGCAGGCCGGACTTGAGTCCAGGAGATGGGAAGTACAGTGCCTGCACTCTGAAAGAGGGGTGTTAATGTTGCAGTTTAAAAACTGTAGTGTAAAGCACCCTTCTGGCAAGACAGTGATGGAGTGAATGATGGTGAAAGTTTTTCTTTTTCGGGCCACCCTGCCCTGGTGGGAATCGGCCAGTGTGATAATAAAAAAAAAAATTTAACAGCTCATGTGTGTGTGAATTTTCATCCGAGCCGCCTCCTGGGGTGATCTCTGCTAAAATATTATTTGCTACACTCCTCCATTTTAGGTGTCTCAGGTTCAAATCTCCTAGTAGCAAGATGTTTGGAGAAGGAGTTGGGAGATTTTCCAGACAGTGGTCAATTTTCAAAAGCTGCTCCTGGAAATGCTGGAAAGTTGCATCTGGAGGCTTGTATACAACCACAATGAGAAGGTTTTGGTTTTCAATATTTACCACCAAAACTTCAACTACATCATTTGAGGTGTTTAGTAGTTCTGAGGAAATGAGCGACTTTGTGGCATACAGGTCAACCCCTCCCCCCCCCCCCTTGTTGCCTCTTTAGTTGGTTTGTTGAAAGAAAAATAAAATCTATTCTTGTAAATTAATAACCCCTTACAAATATGCAACTACAAATGCACAAGAATCTGCTATGATTAAATATCAATACATCAACTCTAAAAAAACAAGAAGCCTGTCCTCATATTAAGCATCACATATTGGAATATCTTTTGTTTCTGTATGACCATTTTATTTCATGAAGCTGAAGGTCCACATTAAATCTATATATATTAAAGGATGCAGGTAAACATATTTTGAAATGTACTGGAAAAACTTCATACTAACAAATACTTCAAATTCAAGAGATAAAACACCCTGGATATACGTACACCATTATTAAAATCAACTGTACAGCACATATAAGCTTTTTATTGGTAAACAAAGTACAAGCATTACTTGCCAACTCTGCAGCAAGAGACATCTCACAGGACAGACTGCCACTCTTGTTTTCTCCACAAATTTTGAATGAAACTTTAGTCCAATTAAGCCAACTTTATTTGCTCTTGATAACACCATCTGCAAAAATAGAAAGTAATTCATTTAGGTACAGGTATAATAATATATATCTTTATTTTTACAAGTACATGTACAAGGTATACAGGCCTAGGTGACATCAATGACTTATTACTGTATAGAAAGCATCTTGTTATGCAGAGCATTTCGAGCAAATTAGGTCAATTTTGTCCCAGGATGCAACCCACACCAGTCTAACACCCAGGTACCCATTCTGCTGATGGATGAACACAGACAACCAATGTAAGGAAACATGCCCAATGTTTCAACCCGGACACTCACCGCGTGAAGCGAGAGCTTTTGCCACCAGGCCACGGGCCACCGGTACATATAAACGCAGTTACACAAATTATCATACATGGTAACATGTGTAAATTACCTAGGACAATCCAAAATAAAGTCAGACAAACTTACTTATTTGCACTGGGGTCCTTGTAAACTACAATGGAACCTCGGTTCTCATAATTAATCCATTCGAAAAAGTCTGATGAAAACTTAATCGTATGAAAACTGAAGCAATATTTCCCATGAGAAATAACGTAAATCCAATTAATCCATTCCAGACACCCAAAAATATTAAAAAAAAAAAGTACATTTTATAGAGAATAACTATAGTTTTACATACAGAATACAATGATAAATAATTATAAATAACTCATGAAATGGATAAATGAACATTTAACATCACTTTTACCTTTACTGAAGATTCTTGTTGGTGTATGGAACACAAAGAGGAGGGGAGAGAGAGGAGGAGAGGTTATTGTTTGGAAGGGAAATCCCCATCCATAAGGAATTCAGGTATCTAGGCCATATCCAGGGTTTATTTATTTATTTATTTATTATTTATTTACAATTTGAGCACACATACAGAGGTACAAAAAAATACAGATAAGAGCAGCATGCCAAAGCCACTTATACTATGCATAGCATTACGGGCTGGCTTAAAATTAACTTAAGATTAACTAAGCAATGATGAAATCAGTGATAAAACATTAATGTAAACAGATTACTATAAAGCACAAGTGAGTATTACAAAGACAGGTCATATGGTTGCATGCATTGTTGTACATTCAGTAGAATGGAGTATTCTGTTTTTTACTAGCACTAGGACCAGCTCGAGTCACTGGACCACTGTCACACAAAAACTCTGTCCAGAGAGGTCTGTTTCTGGCGTCTCTTTAAGATTTGCCTAAAATGGGACAAGGCACTGTCATTGAACATGTTGCAGACACGGCGTGGAACAGCTTTGTTAGGGTGACATTTCTCCACAAAACTTTGCAACTCATGCCACTTTGCACACATGTCCTTAATCACTGAAGAAGGCACATTCTCCCCTCTCTCTTCCTCCTCCTCTGAAGCAATTTCCTCAGCTGAAGTCTGTTGCTGTTCAAGTTGAAGGTGTTGCAGCTCTTCAGCGGTTAGCTCTTACCTGTGGTCATCCACCTACTCTTCCACATCCTAGCCATTCACATCCAACCCCATGGACTTCCCCAAAGACAATAGATTCCACAACAGGCATAGGGTCATCAGGGTCAGCCTCAAGCCCTTCAAAATCACGAACGCATGGGATGCTTTGTGTGGGCGCTCGATTCTAGGAAATGAGTGGCCGAGTCACGCAGGTAGGCAGACGAGTGTGTTACAAACCATTTTCAACTGTACGAAAACCAAGTGAATGTACGAAAACTGGGACAAAATTTCAACGAAAAAAAGTCCTCGAAAACTATGGCATACGAAAACCGAGTTCCACTGTATTAAATGAAGAGTTCGAAAAATGACACCTTAATTTAGCTAAGTGAGTTACATACTAGATATAACATATATGTGTTTTCACAGACTGTTGTTTTGAATTTCTACAAAGGTTGATGAGTAACACTGAATAAACCTTCAAAAAGATGTATATGATTTCTTTAAGTGATTTATTTCCAATGGGGTCCAAAGATCCCAATGGAAATAAATCACTTTGACTTTTTTGGGGTTATCCGAGGTAATCTACACATATGCTGCTATACATGATAATTAATATAATTGTATTTATGTGTACCTGAATAAATTCACTTACTGTAGGTAATGTAACTTCTTTGTTGGGTTTATCAGGGCCACTGACAGCATAAGCTGTACTGAGCCCGGTTTCTTGATGGTACGAGGAAAAATTGTTGCCCAAGGCTGTGCGATGAGAGAAAAGGAACGAAAGTTCCTTTGTAAACAGAGACAGAAACTTGAAGTTTCCAATTAGATCCGGTGGACGCCCTTGCCAAGCCCCAGCAGAGAGGGACGCCCACACTCCCACCTGAGTTCAGTAACCGGCTTCCCACCAAGACCGATAAAGAATTTTCCACAGAGCTGAAAAAATGGAGCTGGCTAAAAGTAAGCCGATGAACAGGTGCCCCTCCTGTCGAGTGCTCGGCGGGTAAAATAGATGAGCGTCCCAGTGAGAACGAGGGAAATTTGCTACTGATGTTCAGGCGAGAGAGATACGTCCACACCCGACGAAGGCTGGTGCAGAAGCCAAAAGAACCACAGTAGCTTCCATCGCATTGTTATTGTTGTTGTTAAGGGTCACCTCGGCATAAGTATTAATTTTTGGTATTGGGATTTGCAAGGGTGACCTTATTGAGTCCTTCCTTTTCTTTCTTTCTTTCTTGGGGTTTATTAGGGCCACTGACAGCAAAAGCCGTATCGAGCCCGACTTCTCGATGGTAAGTAAGTAAGTTTATTCAGGTATACACAAATACAGTTACATAAATTATCATACATAGCAGCATATGTGTAGAGAACCTGGGATAACCCAAAAAAGTCAGAGGAAGGATTTGTTGCCCAAGGCTGGGCGATGAGAGAAAAGGAACAAAAGTTCCTCTGTAAACAGAGATAGAAACTTGAAGTTTCCAATTGGATCCGGTGGACCCCCTTGCCAAGCCCCAGCAGAGAGGGACGCCCAAACCCCCACCTGAGTTCAGTAACCGGCTTCCCACCATGACCGATTAAGAATTTTCCGCAGAGCGGAAAAAATGGAGCTGGCTAAAAGTAAGCCGATGAATAGGTGCTCCTCTTGTCGAGTGCTCGGCGGGTAAAATAGATGAGGACAAGCGTCCCAGAAAGAACGGGGAAAATTTATAACTGATACTCAGGCGAGAGAAAGACGTCCACATTCAACGAAGGCTGGCGCAGAAGTCCATTGAGCCCTTCCTCTCGGTAGTCTGAGTATATGCCGCTCAAATCTGAGTGGGAATTAGAAAAAAAAGCAAAGTTTCCTCCGGAAAGAGAAACAGGAACATGAAATTTCCAAGTTAGATCTGGTGGACCTCATGTCTAAAAACCGGCAAAAACGAAGCGTTTCACTCCCTAAGTAAGCACGTCTATAATCTACCAGCGCCCGAACCTTCATCCACGTTGACAATAACAAATTCCAGTGAACTTATATGTCATTATATTGAAATATTTTGTAATTTTATAGACTAGTACAATTCATCCTTTGATAAATAGATAATTATAATTTTTATTTTGGATTATGTTTTACTATAAATACCATGTTTAAAACCCATAAAACAATAATACTATGCAGATTTTAAGGTTAGGTTAGGTAAGGTTCGTCAGGAAACAGGACAAATGTTTCCTGACGCGGGTCTTAGTCAGATGATGACCCGCCTTTGGAGCTTTTGGTCATCTGACCGAGGCCTTCTGCTGGCTTACCGGTCCACCCCTTTAAAAATTATGGTCATTTATAACCAGTCTGTCATTGCAGATTTTAAGACTAGATTAAAGCTTTGCCTGAAATGCCGTGTGAAATAATAATAATAATAATAATAATAATAATAATAATAATAATAATAATAATTATTATTATTATTATTATTATATTATTATTATTATATATTATTTTTATTATTATTATTATTATTATTATTATTATTATTATTATTATTATTATTATTATTATTATTATTATTATTATTATGTGAGTAAATCACTTGCAGGAGATTTACAGGACATCACCTGAATTATTACCTGCATGTAATTTGGGTGAGGTAAGTGGGACATAGTCACAGTATGTCGCTGAAGTGCAACTCCTTCGACTCCCCACTTCCTCACTGCTCTCACTAAAAGCTAGACCTGACATTAAATTAATAATTATAGTATTAAAACCAGCTATGGCAATTAAAGTTGTGGATTGTATGTTATTTTGGTTTACTTGCTGGGTACACAAAAATATAACTATTAGTACAATGAATATAATATAATAGCGTTATTAAAAAACTTTATATTACCACTTACCATTTAATTACTATAGATGGATCACACCACAACACCTGCCTAACACCTAGACCCTACACTGGCTAGCTGAAATCTAAATGCAAGGACAAATGGTGCACTTACCTGTGAGTGGTGCTCACATCCCATCTTCCACCATTCACACGTAATTTTTGAGGTCCTGCAAATTTCCTGTAGTAATTCTTCAGCAGGAAACATTGACATGGGTTCCTATTACAAATTCAGGCCAAAACACCCCAAACTGGTTTCGGAAAGCGCTGAGTTACATAGTGCAATTAAGTCCAGTGTTCACACATTAAATTCAATATGGCATCTCCTTCGGGTATCCCTCAGCAGCTGTTCTACACGCCCCTCACTCGAAATTTATCGAAAGGGTCAAATCTGCATCATATTTTATTACACAATTATTGTATTATTCAAATTTACATATGCTGAATTTAGGAAAATCCAAAATTTTTCACACTGTGCATCCATACATGGGATTTCAGATTACTGTATGTTTATTTATGTACAATGTTCACTGCCACCCTTGATAATATTGCACCAGTTATAGAGGTTAGAATTAAACGGAGAATCGAACCCTGGATGACTGCTGAGATAATAGCTGTAAGGCAAACAGACATGATATTGCAGCACTAAATGAATTCCAGAGGGTGAGGAACAGAGTGCTGAAGCTTATAAATGGCAATATTGCTCAAAAATCGAAGAGTACAAGAATAACCCTAGAAAGCTCTAGCAACAACTAAAGCAGCTGGGATATAGCCAAAAACCCATAGACAGATCTCACATAGTACTAAATATCGATAACGAGGTATGCCACGAAACAACTAAAGTGGCAAATTGTTTTAATTCATACTACACGACGGTCGCATCAACTGCTTCAAATACCTTTTAACACACTCTGACATACTATACCAATAAATGGGTAACCCCAAACAATTGTCAGCTAGTAAGTGTATCTCATGACTACATGCAAAAAGAACTAAGCAGGTTAAACCCAACTAAGAGCACCGGCCCAGATAACATTCTGTCATTCCTAAAAGATGGTGCCTCTGAATTGCCAATCCCTATTGCTCGTATAACAAATTTGTCCATAACTACTAATACCGTACCAGAGTTACTCCTATCTTCAAGAAAAATAGCAGGTGTAATGTCAGCAACTAAAGGCCTGTTAGTATACTCAGTGTAATATAAAAAATTTTAGAGAGGGCGGTGTACTGTCAAGTATCTTATTGTCAACAACATTCTTCATAGTTACCAATCAGGTTTTAGGATATCTTACTCAACCAACACCTCCCTAATTAATCTGATGGATTACACGAGAACTGAAATGTCGATAGGGAACCTCACAGGAATGGTAACCTTAGACTTGCAAAAGGCCTTCGATACTGTCAGTCACAATATATTATGTAAGAAACGTCAAGCTATCGGCATAGGTTCCATAGACTGGTTTAAGTCCCATCTTAGCAATAGGAAATAAATTGTCAAAATCAACAAAACAGAATCAGAACTCATGCCGATAGCATGTGGAGTTCCCCAAGGTAGCATTCTGGGTCCCTTATTATTTCTGTGTTATGTTAAAGACCTACCTATCAGTGTCAAGTGCAAACTCCTACTGTATGTGGATGACAGTGCTCTGTTAGTGTCAGGTAAAGACCCTGTTGGAATCCTGTAGCCAGGCGCGGATATAAGGGGGGGCCCAGGGCCCCCCCCCCCTTTGGCCCTCTTTGGGCTTTGGCCCAGTGTCGTAGCTGGGTTTTCATTTTGGGGCGAGGGGAAGGAGGGGCCAATCCTTTACATGGCGGGGGCATGCCCTCCCGAATTATTTGAGATTTTAAAGCCGATATATGTATATATATATATAATATATATATATATATATATATATATATATATATATATATATATATATATATATATATATATATATATATATATATATATATATATATATAATACATATATATATATATATACATATATATATATATATATATATATATATATATATATATATATATATATATATATATGTATATATATATATATATATATATATATATATATATATATATATATATATATATATATATATATATATTTTACTTTTCTAGACACAAAACTATGCAGATACTCCTTTTCAAGTGGGGGGGCCACAGCTCTAGTGAAGGGGGGCGGACCCCCCAGGCTCCCCGTAGTTACGCCACTGCTTTGGGATGCATTTAAATTTGTTTTGCAACTTTGCAAGTTTACAGACCACTAATACCTCTAGCTCCATAACAATACAAAAATGCTTTTTAAGGTTGGATACTTATAATAAACATTTTGGAGCTGTATTGATGCTGAGAATAATGAGATGTGGCAAAAAAAATCGTGGAAATGTCCTAACTTGAAAGAAATTTGGCATAACAGCCAGAGAGGCAGGCAGGCTCTGAGAGAGCGAGGCTCAGCCTCAGCGAGCGTCAAGCAGTGTTGCATGTTGAGAGCACGTGGTAACATCAGACGGCTGATGCGGCGTGACCCCGTGACGGTGAGTCACCGTTCCCCGGTATTTCAAGGCTCCAACACACATACTGACTCACTGCGAGCCGGGCACGAACCAGGACGAGAGGGTAAGGGTTCATGAACCATTCAGTGACCTTACTGCACCAGGTAAAGGGGCCAGGGCAAGATTAATACATTAGGCTATTGTGTTTATGCCTGTTTTGGGGCCTTGTGGGACAGTGCCAGAGTGGAGTGGGTTGGAGCCTTGGTTAGGCTGCAGTGTGATTAATCCTTTCAGTGTAATAACCTTTGCATGTTACTTTTAAGGCTACTATTATAGGTAAAATTATAAAGTATAATGCTTACTTTCTTAAGCAGATATATATATTATATATTTTATATATATATATATAATATATATATATATAAAATATATATATATATATATATATAAAATATATATATATATATATATATATATAAATATAATATATATATATATATATATATATATATATAAATATATATATATATATATATATATATATATATTCTACATTTAAGTTAATGTCTAAATGTAAAAGTCTCTGGCTATCATAACTTTGGGTCCAGTCCCTGGACCAATTATGTACCTCTGTAATCTTTTGACTACCGCCCACAGGATGGGTATGGGGTGCATAATAAACATATTAAACTAACTCTAGTTATTAAATTCTTACTTTCAATAAAGTTTTAATAAGATACAAAATTCCTCTCATTGTAAGGTCAGTGTTTTTTTTTTCTCAGAAAAATTGGCCCTCTCATTTGGATCCGAAGAGAATTGAGAA